CAAAGCTAGCCCAGGCAGGAAAGTTCGTGAGACTCATCTCCAGTTAACTACCAGAAAACCAGAAGTGGCTCTATGGCTCAAGTGGTAGAGCACTTGCCTTGAGCTGAAGGGGCCAGCGCCCAGGCCCAGAGTTCAAGCCCTATGACCAACCAAAACAAAAGTTTTCATAAGTTTAGAAGTTTAGAAGGACTGAAAGCACTCTACTTAAAGGAAAATCAGATATTTAGAAATTACTAAACTTATAACTAATAATAACTAAAGAACTTACTAAATAATATGTAACAAAATAATGAATTTAGAAATTACTAAATTTATAACTAGGAATAACTAATATTTAGAAATTACTACTAAATAATCTATGGAACAATGAATTAACACAAAGGAAACTAGAATTTTTAAAACTGAATGATATTAAGTATTAAAAATTGTAGAATGCAGCTTAAGCTGTGATTTTATAGGTTTTTAAAATATGTTTCAGGACAAAAAAGATCTGAAATTTCAAACTTTTTAGAAAGTTTGAAAAAATGTGGCTCAAGTGATAGAGTACCAGCTATGGGTGAGTGGGAAAAGTTGAGCAAATGTGAGGCCTAAAGTTCAAGCAGTACCAACACACATACACATACACCCCTTATCTAAAAAAAAAAAACTAGAGCAGGTCCAGAGGCATGGCTGAAATGGTAACCAAGCAAATAAGTGTGAGGCCTTGAGTTAATTTTTGAAGACAGATAAATTACACGATAGACACATGCATACATATACAACTGTAGAATTAAAAATTAAGTAAAAATAATATAAATATTAAGGTGAACTTGATTCTATTCCCCACTTTGCAGAGAGTACATCCATTGAAACCAGGTCTTTTAGGATATGAAAGAAGTATTAATTAATGAGTAGCTTAAATACCAAACTACAATCAAGAGAGTAGTGGGTAGTGGTCGGAAAGAACTTTTACTGTTCCTTTTTCCATAAAATACTTTTCTTTCTACTTACATCTTAATCATGGAATAAAATATTTAAGAACTGATACCTACTTGTAATAATCATGTCCTTTTTAAAAAATTTTTTTTTATTCTGGTACTGGGGCTTGAACTCAGGGCCTGGGAACTGTCCAGAGCTTTTTTGCTCAAAGCTGATACTCTACCACTTGAGACACAGTTCTACTCCTGGCTCTTTGGTCATTAAGTTTAAATAGAGTCTCATAGACTTTTCCTTTTTGTCAGTAGTGGGACTTGAACTCAGGGCCTGGGTGCTGTCCCTGAGGGTTTTCACTCAAGGCTAGTGCTCTACCATTTTGAGCCACAACTCCACTTTTGGTTTTCTGGTAGTTAATTGGAGATAAGAGTATTATGAGTCTGGTGCTAATGGCTCACGCCTGTAATCCTAGCTACTCAGGAGGCTGAGATCTAAGGATCGAGGTTCAAAGCCAACCCGGGCCAGAAAGTCCATGAGACTCTCATCTCCAATATACCATCAGAAAACTGGAAGTGGCACTGTGGCTCAAGTGGTAGAGCACTAGCCTTGAGCTGAAGAGCTGAGGGACAGCACTTAGGCCCAGAGTTCAAGCGTCATGACCAACCAAAAAGCAAAAAAAGAGTTTCATGGACTTTCCTGCTCAGGCAGGCTTTAAACTGTGATCCTCAGATTTCAGCCTCCTGAGAAGCTAGGATTAAGCCACCAGCACCTGTCTTATCCCACACTTTTCTGCCCCTACTGGCTTTGAAATACAATCTTCAGATCTCAGCCTTCTGAGTAGTTAATATTACCAGCATGAGCCACTGGCACCTGGCTAAACCCACTTTTAACCAGCTGTAATAATAAAATGAGTCCCAGTTTGGAGTTTCATTAAATTTTACATCTTACATCCACACACATTCTGTTTCTCTCAGATCTATTGGGGGAAAAATATATTAGCCAGCAAGATCATGCAGTCATGTAATCCCAGTTCTAGGGAGGCTAAGGCAGGACACCTACATAGTCAGACACTGTCTCAAAAATAAAAAAACAAAGGGCTGGGAAGGTGGCTCAGTGGTAGAGTGCTTGCCTCACATGCATGAGGCCCTGGGTTCGATTCCTCAGCACCACATAAGCAGAAAAAGCCGGAAGTGGTGCTGTGGCTCAAGTGGTAGAGTGCTAGCTTTTGTGCTGAAGAGCTGAGGGACAGCGCCCAGGCCCAGAGTTCAGGTCCCACAACCCACAAAAATAAATAAATAATAAATAAATAAATAAAATAAACTCCCTTGGCTAATCAGAGATTAGCAGGACATTCTATCATTTAATAATTACATATACACAATTCACTTTATTGCAATGAATAATTTAGTAAACATCTGCCCAGTTATAAGATGATGAGGTTTTAATTAGTTAACAGATTTAGACCTGGCAATGGAACACTTTGCAAATAAAGCCACAAACACTAGTTATTCTTAGGAAAAAACATGTGGTTTGGGGACTGGAAGGGTTCAGCTTTCTAAAACACCTTCAGATTAACAGAGTCTGTTAATTTGAAGTTATCTGCTTGATAACTTGATTTGTCAGCATTAAAATTGCTCAACAAATCATCAAATTCCCAAACTAAGCCTAGCAACTCAGAACTAGATTCAAAACATTTGACAGGATTTCTTTCTTACTTTCTTTTTTGGGTCCAGTCATGGGGCTTGAGCTCTGAGCCTGTGCGCTGTCCCTCAGCTCTTCAGCTCAAGGCTAGCGCTCTACCACTTGAGCCATAGCACCACTTTTGGCTTTTTTTTTTTTTCTGCTTATGTGGTGCTGAGGAATCGAACCCAGGGCCTCATGCATACAAGGCAAGTGCTCTACTACTGAGCCACCTTCCCAGCCCCTTGACAGGATTTCTTGAAGCTGGGAATCACCTAATAATTAGTTTAATGTACCAAGTAAAATTCAAATTATAGTGGTACTTATAACAATATGATTATTTACATTAGTCAATTATCTACACTTCAACAAGAAAGGACAATGCACAATTTTTTTTTTTAATGTTGGCTGAAGGGCTTGAATTCAGAGCCTGGGTGAGTCCCTCTGTGCTCTACCACTTGAGTCACAGCACCATTTCTGGTTTTTGAGTGGTTAATTCGAAATAAGAGTCTCACTGGGCCTTTTTCTGCCCAGATTGGCTTCTAACTATGATCTTCAGATCTTAGCCACTTGAGTAGCTAGTATTACAGGCATGAGTCACAGGCACCCAGACAACATACCTTTTTTTTTTTTTTTGGCCAGTCCTGGGGCTTGAACTCAGGGCCTGGGCACTGTCTCTGAGCTTCTTTTGTTCAAAGCTAGCACTCTACCACTTGAGCCACAGTACCACTTCTGGCTTTTTCTGTTTATGTGGTACTGAGGAATTGAACCCAGGGCTTCATGCATGTGAGGCAAGCACTCTACCACTAAGCCACAATCCCAGCCCCCAACATACCACTTTTGATCAATAAAAGCATAATCTTTTATCAAATTTAGTTAAATCTTAAAATTGTTTTTTCATTATTCTTACTCCTCACAGTTTAACATTTAAAAATTAGACTAAGCAGGCTGCAATGATAACACAGCTAACAAAAATGACATTAAGACCATTAAATATTTTAAGTTTCTTAAGATATAATTATGAGGGAAAAACTGGGAAGGAATGGGTGACAATTGTCTAAAAACAAAGTTACTCTTAGCCAGGTTTTGGTAGCTCACACTTTAATCCTAGCTTCTCAGGAGGCTGAGATCTGAGGACCTGGGTTTGAAGCCAGCAGGGGCAGGAAAGTCCCTGAGACTCTTATCTACAATAAACCACCAGAAAGCGGAAGCCTTGAGCAAAAGAACTCAGGGACAGCGCCTGGGACCTGAGTTCAAGCCCCACGATCGACAACAAAACAAAGAAAGAAGGGGGGGGGGAGAGGAAATTAGGGAGGAGAAAGAAAGAAAGAAAGAAAGAAAGGAAGGAAGGAAGGAAGAAAGAAGAAAGAAACAAAGAAAGAAAGAAAGAGAATCAAGAAGGAAGAGAAAGAGACAGTAGGGAGAGGGGAGAGGGAGAAAGGGGGGCTGGGAAGGTGGCTCAGTGGTAGAGCACATGCCTTGCATGCATGAGGCCCTGTGTTCGATTCCTCAGCACCACATGCGCAGAAAAAGCCAGAAATGACGCCGTGGCTCACGGCAAAAGGAAAGAAAGAAAGAAAGAAAAAAAGTCGTGTACTCTTTATTTGCCTTACCGTAATTATAGCCCCTCTGAACATCACCTTTATAATAATAGAAAATTTAAAAACATAGTAAAAGTTACTAGAAGATGTAACAAGTGTTATTATTTGAACTTATTTACACTCGAATAAATTGTCCTTTGTTCTTACTTGCGCAAATTTTTGAATTAAAAAAGGGAGGTTGATTCAACGTGTTATAAACACATTAACCAAAACGGAAGTACTTTCGGTTCCCAGCATTTGCTTCCAAGAAAACACTTTCCTTGCATCTTCAAGTGCCCAAAGTGCTTTTTTTTTTTTTTTAAGGAAAAGAATTACTGAGAATTACTGATACGAAGAAATACTCATTTCTGAAAGCCGGGGCGATCTCTCTGTGTCTCTGTCTCCTCTCCAATCTTCTTTCAAACACGAACAATTACACCGCCAGGTACGGATCAAAGATCGTTTTTATGGCGCTCGGCGCGGGTGGGTCAGCCCTCGTCCCAGCGGCCACTTTGGCTCCCCGCTCCGCGCACCCCTAACTGGCCTGGGGTCCGATCCTCCGGGCTGGCAGATCTGGAGGAAGCCCTGGGGGCGGATTGGCGCAGCACACCTGAGGAGGGGACCGGAGAGGGCGGGGAGGGGGCGGAAGGGGCCCCGACGGCCGCAACCCTCCGCGGGAGGGGGACGGGCTCCTCCCGCCGTCCCCAGGCGGTGACTCACGGCGCGCCGTGCGCGCGCGGAGGTGAGCCGCCCCCGGGAAGGGACCGAGGGGCGGAGCCGCCAGGTCCGACAGGTTTGCGCCCCGCCTCGTAGTGCGCCCAGAGCGCGCCGTCCCTCGGCGGATTCGCATCTCCTGCGGTTCTCGAGGTACCTGTCCCCCTCCGACGCCGGCCCGCGCGCCCGAGCCCCGCTCCCCGCAGCCGGCCAGCGGCTCCCCGCGCCCCCTTCCCTTCCCGCCGCTTCTCGGAGCCTCGCCCGACCCGCGCCCTTCTTTCTCGGCGCGCGCGCAGCATGGCGCCCCCCCGCGCCCTGGCGATCGGGCTTTTGCTGGCGGTGGCGACGACGGCGGTGGCCGCGGCCGGGAAAGGTGAGGCGCGCGCTAGGGGCACTGTGGGGAGATGGGGCCGGGCCGGGCCGGGATCGCCGGCCTTCGGTGCCCGAGATCGGGATCATGGGGTGAGGACTGAGCGGCCGCGCTCTCCCGCCTGGGACCGGACGGCGCGGGCGGCGACGCGCCGGACCCTTTTCAGCGAGGCGGCGGCGGGAAGGTGCCCGTCCGCGCGGGCTGCGGAGCGCCACCTTCTCCCGCACCTCTTTGCGAGGAAGTGGCGGCGATGGGGGCGGAGGGGAAGTGGGAAGCTCTGTAGGTACGGGGGATTGCGCGGCGGCTGCGGAGCCCACACCTCCCGTCCGGCGCGCGGGGACCGCGAGCCGCGGCCTGGCCCTCGGGGCCTGCCCCTCCCGCAGCACCTGCGACAGGCCCGGATGTGGGCCTCGGGCGGGGACAGGTGGCGGAGGAGGCCGCTATGCACCTGTGCGCCGGGGCGCGTGAGGCGGCCTCTAGGACTTTACTACCAAGGGGTGTGTCTTGACTTTTCCAAGAAACATGAGTAATGCCGAGTTTATGGTAGGGAACAGAAACAAAGGTGACTGTAGAGAGTAAACAATCACGTCCTGTAGTCGCATCTGCATTTATCTCCCTCCACGCCATCCAGACTTTTTTCTTTTAATGTTGAAAGAATAAAGTCTGAAGTGGAAGGGCACACTATTACCCAAGTGTTGACCCTGTAACTTCATTCTCGTTTTTACTAGTCTGGGGTAACAGCTTGGCTGTGATCTGTGTGTGTGTCCGTGTGTGTCAGTTTTAGGGCTTGAACTCAGGGCCTTGACGCCGTTGCTGAGCTTTTTTGTTTTTGCCCAGTCAAGGCTAACCCTCTACCACTGACACACAACTCCACTTCCGTCTTTTTTTGGTAGTTAATTGGAGATAAGAGCCTCACAGACTTTCCTGCTCATGCTGGTTTTGAACCAAGATCTTCAGATCTCAGCCTCCTGAGTAGCTAGGATTATAGGTGAGAGCCACAGGTGCCAGACTGGCTGTGATCTTATGAAGTGTTTATAAGAGTTTTATAAGTGGAAAGAAATGATGGAAGTTCTCTGGAAAGGATTTTTTAACCTCGCTAAGTTGGTGGGCCAACCACATTCATTACACTTTCAAAGTAATGCAGTTTAATCTACTCATGTTTTTCTACCTTTAGTCTGGTGCTACATACTTAAATTGCTACTTAGAGCTGAGAATGTAGCTCAGTGATACAGTACTTGCCTAGCAGTCAAGGGTCCCTGGGCTTCATTCTCAACATGAGAGGAAAACTTTTTAAAAAAGGCAGGAGGTGGTGGTGGTGGTGGCTAGTTCCTGAAACCTCAGACTAGGGAAGTGGAGGGGGAAGGATACTGAATTCGAAACCAGCCTGCACACACAGTGACCTCTGTCTCACCAAACAACCAAAACCTAGCAGCAAGTGTAGCTCATTGGTAAAGTGTGTTCCAGCTTGGGTGAGGCTCAGGAGTTTGATCCCCACAATGACCTAGATAAGTAAATAAAACCAAAACAAAAGAAATGGGAATGTGTGCAAATTAGACCATGTGAATATAATACATATAAACAATTTAATATGAAGCACTTAAATTATAGCTAAAAAATCCTTTCAGGATGACTTAGAGGCATTACTGTCAGGACATAACTTGCAGGAAAATCAGAGTTGATCGTTGTAACTACACTTTAAAGTGGATATAAAAATTGCTTTTCTAGAGTGTGTCTGTGAAAAATACAAGCTGACTACAAACTGCTTTACGAATGAAAATGATGAATGCCAGTGTACTTCTTTTGGTACACAGAATGCAGTGGTTTGCTCCAAATGTGAGTAAGAGATATCTTGCCTTTTTTCATCTTTATTTTGGTTTAACTTTTAAAAGGGATGTGGCTTGAGTTGGTATGTTCCATGTTATTTTGTGAAAATTATCTTCCAGGTCTGATGTTGATGGTTCATGACTGTCATCCTAGCTCCTCAAGAGCCTGAGATCTGAGGATCATGATTCAGTTGTGGAATAGCTAGCTTTGACCAAAAAAGCTCAGGGACAGTGCCCAGGCCTTGAGTTCAAGGCTCCAGAACCAACATCATCTTCTTCCCACCCTCCAAAAAAATACACACACACACACATCCCATTTGCAGCTTCTTCAAGTAATGAGAAGTATGAAATCTTTGCGATTTGGGGTTAAAGACTTCTTCAAACAAGGGGGTCAATCTGATTTAAATACTGCATATGTGTGTATAAAATACCACACTGAAACCCCTTTAATGTAGCTGATTAGCATATCCTAAAAAAAATGAAGACAAAAATATAAAACAGGTCCTGACTGGGATTGGGGGTACTACTGGGTGGGGAAAGGGTGAAGGAGAATGAAGATGGTCAAAATACTTTATGTACCTGTGCAAAAATGGAACAGTGAAGCTGTTTGAGATTGGTTTGGTGGAAGAGGGAGTGTGACTGGGAGTGAATCTGGTCCAAACATGGGTATATCAATAGGAAATCCCCTGGTATAACTAATCCAAACCAAACACACACAAATAAACAAAAGATTCCTTTTCTTTTGAGTATGCTGAGACGTTATTTTTCAGTTTAATGGTATGCTTTCTTTTCAGTGGCTTCCAAATGTTTGGTGATGAAGGCAGAAATGAGTCATTCCAAGAGTGGGAGAAGACTGAAACCTGATGGGGCATTTCAGAATAATGACGGGCTCTATGACCCTGACTGTGATGAGAAGGGTCTCTTTAAAGCCAAGCAGTGTAATGGCACCTCCACATGCTGGTGTGTGAATACTGCTGGAGTCCGGAGAACCGACAAGGATACGGAAATAACTTGTTCTGAACGCGTGAGGACCTAGTGAGTGAGGCTGCCAGTGTTACTTGTTTTATGCTTTCCATATTCATTTAATTAAGTTTATTTTTGGATTTGCAATATTTTTGGATTGTAATATCCAAGAATAAATTTAATTGGAATTTAGAATTTAATTAGAATTTGATTAGAATTTAGAATTCAAAAGGTAGGAAAGGGTACAAGATAGAGTATCTGTCCCGTCACAGCTACTAGTACACCTTCATAGACCTGATTGTTATCAGTTTTATTTTATCGTCTTCAAGATGCAAACCTTATTTATGTTTGTTTGTTTTTTTACAAAAGTGGTAGTATATTAGGAATAATTTTCCTCTTACATTTTATGGAACATTGTTAAGTATTTTAAAGCTAAATTAATATAAAATGTAGATGAATAATTTAAACTTAGTATTTTAGGCTTACAAGTGAGATATGCCATCTGGGAATTTTCATTCAGTAGAAGAAAGATCTGTAGTTCTTTTGAGTGTTTTTTTTTAAGGCCTTTTTTTTTAAGTTCCATCAAAAAATTATGTATATGATTATCTTAGGATTATTTAATGAAAGGAATAGAAACCACTCAAGCTTTGCTTAAGCAAAATAGGCTTTATTGGAAGGAACTAGAACCTGGCCAAGGGTTGCTTCCAAAGTGAAAACTTTTGGGACCACAGTAGTTTTCTGTTTCACTTGGGTCTTTTTTTTCTTTTCTTTGAACATAGCCCAAGATGGCCAGCTTTGCCCTGACTTTATGTGAGTTTATATATTGTAGCCAGAGACTAAAGGTCAGTATTAGAAAAGATGTTCCCGGAAGTGGCACTGTAGCTTAAGTGGTAGAGTGCTAGCCTTGAGCTGAAGAGTTGAGGGACAACGCTGAGGCCCAGAGTTCAAGCCCCACAACTGGCAAAAAAAAAAAAAAAAAAGATGTTCCCTTTGTTTGGGTTTTCTTTGAAGGATTCATGAGGCCAAGGGAGTATTTACAACAATCTTTATTTATTAGCCTATTTGGAAAACCGTGTAAAAGTCCGAATTATAGACAGTTGTCACTTTTTACTTTACAGCTGGATCATCATTGAACTAAAACACAAAGAAAGAGAAAAACCTTACAATACTCAAAGTTTGCAGAAGTAAGTACAATTATATACATACTATTTGCAAAATTGATGCTTAAACTTTTACGTCTTATATTATTGGAGCAACAAAGGCTCCATGCCTTTCCTTATTTTGTCATATACTTTTGGAATAGAATTGCAATAATAGCATGGTGACTGCTATAACTCCTTTGCTTAGATTAACCAGTTAACATTTTCCCACATTTTTGTGTGTTTGTGTATATTCATGTGAGTAAATATTTTTTCCCAGAACCACTTGAAAGCAACTTGTAGATATTATGTTCATTTTCCCCTAAGTATTTTTACACTTCATTGTATCATTTTTCTTTTTTTGATATTTTTTTTTTGAGCCCTAAGCTGACCTCAAACTTGATATCCTTCTGCCTCAGTATACCAAATGCTGGTATTACGTGAATACCACTGTGCCCAGTTTTAGTGTATCTTTTGAAAGAATAAAAGACATTGTCAGATTCAGGAAATTTAGTATAAAAGATGATAAAATTGAGGAATTTTAACATAATCCCATATTGTGGCATTTTTCTATTGTCGTCTTTCTCTTTTGCTGGTATTGGGACTTTAGCTCAGGGCCTTGAGCTCTCCTTTAATATTCTTTTCTTTTTCATTTCTTTTGCCAGTCCTGCGCCTTGAACTCAGGCCGGGCACTGCCCATAAGCTTCTTTTTGCTCAAGGTTAGCACTCTACCACTTGAGCCACAGACCCACTTCTGGCCTTTTCTGTTTATGTGGTATTAAGGAATCGAACCGAGGCCTTCATGCATGCTAGGCAAGCACACTACTACTAAGCCACATTTCCAGCTAACCTTTAGTTTTCTTTAGTATGGCTGGCACCACTTGAGCCACACCTACCCCTGCATTTTGAAGATGGAGTCCTATAAACTTTTCTACCCAGGCTGGCTTCCAATCGCTGTAACCTATGACTCAGCCTCCTGAGTATCAAGGATTGTAAGAGTGAGCCATGGTGCACCTGACTTCATTCTTGTCCTTTGTATCAGATTTTTTTTTCCCACTGATCCAGACCCAAACCAAGATCCTGTATCATTTGGTTGTATGACTTTTTTTTTTTTCTTCAGTTCTTAGTATGGAAAAGTTTCTTGGCCTTTCATTTTCTTTTGTGTCATTGGTATTTTTAAATAGTATGGGCAAATTAATGTCCCTCAAACTTGGATGTCTGGTGTTCCCTCTTTAAACTTTATTTTTTGGTGTGGCCCTTGGGCTTGAACTCAAGGCCTCAGGGCTGGCTGTCCCTGAGCTTGTTTGTTCAAGGCTAGTGCTCTACCACTAGAGCCACAGCTCCACTTTTGGCCTTTTGGCAGCTGGAGATGAGTCTCATTGATATTCCTGCCAGGGTTAGCTTCATATCCTGATCCTTAGATGTCAGCTTCCTGAGTAGCTAGCATTACACACATGAGCCATTGGTGCCTAGCTCTCCTAAACTACTTTAAGTTATTTTGTGTCCTTTCTAGTACTTACCTGAGGAGGTCTATGATGTCATTTTGTCCCTTTCCTAATAATGCTAACTGGCCAAGGTGGTGTCTACCAGCTTTTTCCACTGTAAAATTAACATTTCCCTTTTGTAATAGATAATTTCTGGGCAGATATTGGGTACTGTGTAGGTGTGTTTCTAATCAAACTGGCACTCCACACTTTGAATATCAATGGATAATGCTAGCTGACCAATTATTTATTATCAGAATTGCAAAATGGCATAAAAAATTTCATCACTTCGGGGGGGGGGGCGGGACTGGGTGGGGGGGGGGGAGGCTGGTAAGGGATGTGAAGGGTAAACAAAGGAGGAGGCTGCAATGAACAATCCAAAAAAAAAATTTCATCACTTCAGTTAATGCTAAAGCTTGAACTATCTGCTTAAAGACTAGTTTCCTACTGTTGTGTGGTGCAGATTTTCTTTTTAAATGTAGACCTTTAACTTACAGAGCACTTCAGGAGGCAATCACAACTCGTTACCAACTGGATCCAAAATTTATTGCAAATATTCTGGTATGATTTTTTTTTTGTAAATTGGTTTTAGCTGAAAGTTGGTAGAACACTGTGCTTTGGTTATAGAAGACAGTGATTTTAGTAGCATTACATGGCATTTAAGTAACACTGTAAGTCTTGGGTGTTTGATATGAAATCCTTATTGCTTTCTTTTCAGAAATTCCAGTTTTGCCTTTAAAGAAAACACATCTCTTAATATACCTCAAACATTATTTGAGATGTGGCTCTTGTTTTCATTTCTTTTCTTTTTTTTTTGTCAGTTGTGGGGCTTGAACTCTGGTCTTGGGTGCTAACCCTGGGCTCTGCAGCTCAAGACAAGTGCTCTACCGCTTTAGCTACAGCACCACTTCTGGTTTTCTAGTGGTTAATTGGAGATAAAAGTTTCACAGGCTTTTCTGCCCAGGCTGGCTTTGAACCGTGATCCTCAGATCTCAGCCTCCTGAGTAGCTAGCATTACAGGTGTGAGCCACCAGCTCCCGGCTTCTTGTTTTCATTTTTTGTGGTTCAAAGAACTAGTCCTTACCCACATAGCCTTCCTTAACTCTTTCAACTCTGGTTTACTTACTTGACAGTAACAATTTGAACTCAGGGCCTTCCATGTATTTGCTCAGCTTGCTTGTGCTTTTATCACTTAAGCCATTCCTCCAGCAAGGCTTTTTTGCTGGTTATTTTGGAGACAGTCTTTGTTTAGGCTTGCTTCAAACCACAGTCCTCAGCTTTTAGTCTCCTTAGTAGCTACCATTATAAGCATGAGCTACCTGTATTTGGCAGCTGCTGCTGCCTTTTTTTTTTTTTTAAATATAAGTTGTAATTGTTTGCATTGCTGTCTTATTTCTTGAATAGATTTAAAGATTTCCTAAAGATTTTTCAATTACTAATGAAACATTTAATTATTTGCAAATGGAATAATGTATATTACAGAAATGTATTACAGTGACTGTATATTACAGAAATTCAAATACTGAATCTGCTGAGTTTTTTTCTTGTAATTTTTATTAGACTAATACTAATTTGTATTTTCAATCTTTCCTTCAGTATGAGAATAATGTTATTACTATTGACCTGGTGCAAAATTCTTCTCAGAAAACTCAGAATGATGTGGACATTGCTGATGTGGCTTATTATTTTGAAAAAGATGTAAGTGTAAACTTATTTGTGTGTTCAGACGTGTAATGTTGACTAGCATGCCTCAGTGGTTACTAGGTCTTTTTTCCCCTTTTTTTCTCCACTTAGATATATCAACCATCTCTCTAAGTGATTCTTATGCTGCAATTGTTTGTTTTGTTATTCCCATACAGCTTTCTTATTTGTATATTATGTCTTTAATCGGCTGTTCTGCTCAGAATATCATTTTTATGGCTTAATTTTTGTAACTTGGGGATTGAACCTGGGTCTGTATACACATTTCCAGCTTTTTGGTCATTAGAGATAACACTCACCGATTTGTTGACTTAAGTCTCAGTGGATCAGATTTTTTTGTCATTGAAATCATAAAACTAAAGATTCATGGTGGTAATTTTTCCTGCATACAATTGACATGTAATGATAGGTGAACTACTTTTTCTTTTGATCCAAGACCAGGACTCACACTTTGTCATCTGACACCTTCACTCATTGGCCCATGCTCTACCAGCTTAGCCATTCCTCCAGTCTCCCGTCTTGGTTTTATTAAATGCTTCTAATGGTTTCCTTTATAGGTTAAAGGTGAATCCTTATTCCTTTCTTCTAAAATGGACATGACAGTGAATGGGGAGAGACTAGAACTGGATCCTGGGCAAACTCTCATTTACTACATGGATGAAAAAGCTCCTGAGTTTTCAATGCAGGGCCTAACAGCTGGCATCATTGCTGTCATTGTGGTTGTGGTTATAGCAATTATTGCTGGAATTGTTGTGCTGGTGAGTATGGAATAAGCAAATTTTCATCTACAGCATATATTCTTAAAATTTAATACTAAGAAAGCAGTATCCATTTTCCAAAACTTATTAATGATATAGATCTTCCTTTTTTTAAACTATGGTGAATGTTGCATTTCATTTCTGATCCCTTTTTACAAAATAGTCATTATTCAGTCAAAAGGATACTTACATCACAGAAAGCTTGCTCTGAGCCCTTGTAGGACAGTTATATCGTCTGCAGTCAACAAATACCCTTCAGTTCTCCGTCTGCTAGGATCAGAGCAAAATACCTGAACTAAAGTATTCAATGATATGGAACAACAGAACACAGGCTCACTTTAGCTTGGCTTTGTCACTCAAGGCTGGAACTCTGCCACTTTAACCACATTCCCACTTTATAGTCTAGTCTCAAAAGAAAAAGGTTTGAGAGTATATGTGAACTTAACTTAGATTTTTCAGTTCAGGGAATTAACCTATTTAGCTCTCTCCATGTGAAGATACAAAATTGTATTTGTATTTCATTCCACTAGGATTGCCCATATTACTCACTATGCATGTTTGGCATATCCTGGGCATAGTGATGTGAAAAGTACTGGGTAGTACATCCGTGTTCAAATGTAAATTCCAACAGATAATTGTGTAAAATTTAAATATGTACACACACACACAGGTCTTTCATGTTTTCTAATTGTAAGGCTGTATTAGTCACTGCCAGGCAGACAAACCCATGAGACTTTTATCTCCAGTGAATGAGTAAAAAGCCAGAAGTAGAGATGTTGCACAAGTGGTAGAGTATGAGCCTTAAGCAGAGAAAGCTAAGCAAGAGTGTGAGGCCCTGAGTTCAAGCCCCAGTAATGGTACACACATGTGTGTACATGCATATACACACACATACATACACATAGGATGTCAACTGTGTCTCAAATGGTAGAATACCTGTCTAGTGAGATTGGTATCCTGAGGTTAATCTCTAGTACCTCCCTCTGCTCCAAAGAAATAAATGTTTACGGATAGATTTTTAAAAATTACTCAGATTGTGGTTGCTGGTGACTCATGCTTGTAATCCTAGCTACTCAGGAGGCCGAGATTTGAGAATCGCGGTTCAAAGCCAGCCTGGGCAGGAAAGGCTGTGAGACTCTTATCTCCAATTAACCACCAGAAAACCAGAAGTGGCGCTGTGGCTCAAGTAGTAGAGTGCTAGCCTTGGGCTAAAGAGCTGAGGGACAAGAGCAGAGTTCAAGCCCAATAACCACTACCACCAACAACAAAATTCAGATTGGAATTATGTACATTTTTCTAAAAGGTTATATGTCAGTTTTGACCAAATTATTTTTTGTTGGAATAGCAGTTCTAAAATAGTAACCATTTTTCTTTCAGGTTATTTCTAGGAAGAAAAGAACAACAAAATATGAGAAGGCTGAGGTAAATAGATTACTTGTATTGAATCTTTTATTCCTAGTTTATTTCATTATACTTGTACTACTGATGGAGTTCCTTTTCACTAAAGTTACTTTGCCCTGTAGTCCTTGGGAGTCTTAGGGACAGGCTTAGAATGAGCTCTTACTTAGAATGAGCTCTTACCTAGTTTGAGTTAGACCCTATGCTTTATGCTTTATAGAAGAGTGGAATGGAAAGCCCATTAAAATGTGAATATCTAGATGGGTTTTTTAGAATACACTCAGTGGAACCATATTAGGGAAACTCCATGTGATTCAGAACCCGTCTTGTCATTATACCAATGGAGAATAATTCTATAAGGTAAATTTAATATGTCATAAGTAAGTATGTTATATATTAGCTAATCACACAAACTTGTGTGAAAACAGATTCTTACATGTTTTGGGTTAGATACTTGGAATTAGATATGAACACATTTTTTGTCTGAATTCTGGCCATGACTTTTTATATACTCACCAATTCTGATATATCTTTGTATTCATTTGTAATTATACATGTGCTGCTTGCTAATATTATTAAAAACAAAAAAGTAAAAAAAAAATTGAAAAAAATCTAATATAGCCAGAAAGTTCTAATACTGTCTTCCTGTTCCATAATAAACCATTGCTGGCTTATCTTGTGTGGTGACCACACTTCTACTCTTGAACTGAATTGATAGGCAGAATGATGTAGTATTACCATTTGAGAACAATAAAGACTTGGTTCTGACCACTTATTAGCTAGACAAGTTATGTTTTCTCATCAGCAAAATGGAGATAAGAGTATAGACTACTTAAAAGTAACTTACATAAATATATGCTTGTCACATAGTGAGAAGTTCGCCAGTAATAGTAGTCATTTGTCATTGTTCTCAGTTTTGCCTGTAACTTATTTTATGACTTGGAGAATGTCACTTAATTCTGAACTTTATTTCCTTATCTATGAATGAAAGATTGATAATAGAAAATGAACTATTTGTTGGGACAGTGGCTTGTGCCTATAATCCCAGTTCACAGATCAGAAAGATTATAGTTCAAAGTCAGTTTAGGACAAAAAATTAATGAGACTATTTATCTCAACAAAAAGTTCTGTGTGGTGGTACATGCTGTCTCGACTATGAGGGAGACCTTAGAAAGACCAAAGTCAGAAGGCTGATCCCAGCCAAAACTATACATCCTATTTGGAAAATAAAGTAAAAAAGGACTGGAGGTATGACTCTACCACCAAAACAAATTCTTCCTAGCTATAACAATAGCATGCATCCCCGCTTACTAACCATGTAGTTTTCTAATTCCTTTCCCAGTCACTGTGGCTATCTTGTTCCAAATAGAGGCTTAGGTGCTATAATTAGTGTGTGTCTTGTTGTAAAACAGATTTTATTATTTATTTATATTATTAAGTAATTGTACAAAACAGTTACAGTCCCATAAGTCAGGTTATGCGTACAATGTTTCTTGGTGAGTATCACCCTCAAGTTGCATAGTTCATTTTTTACATTGTGTGTATCAAATATAATAATGGCTGTATTTGCTCAACCTTCCTCCCTCCATTTCTGTGCCTTTCTTTTGCTTACTTCTCCAAAACGTATTTCCACTTGCTGATATTCATTTGATAACCACTAAGATTTATTTAAATAAATCTTGCAAAAGAGAGTCATCTTGCTTTGGTTCCTTGTTTTATAAAATCTTATTTCAGAAGGTGGAAAATTTAAAATTTATTTAAAATTATTTAAAATTTCTACTGTTCTCTCCCCCCCCCCCCCCTTTCAGATAAAGGAGATGGGTGAGATGCACAGAGAACTGAATGCATAACTACTCCAATGTGCAGATTAACTAACTAGAAGAAGGAGAATTAGCAAGTGGTACGCCATTACAGATGTGTGAACATGGGACAAAAAGGTTTTTGAGGATTACTATTTTGTTAGTTAACACCATTTGTTTGTAATATGAAACCTGTACTCAAACTATAAGCAGCTTGAAATTGGCATTACCAGTCTTCAGATTTCACAAGTGTCTTACAAATACAGATCTAATATAAAACCCACAACTTTGGACCGCATAGTTAGATCATTTATAATTTTTGAAGAGTGCATTAAGTAGGCTTCTACACTAGTTTGTTTGAATGACCAGTGTCTCATTCATCTAATTGAAAGCTGCCTTTCTGTTTATTTTGAATCTTGTATATAAAGTTTTTTTAATGAAATAAAACATTTAAAAACTAACCTTGTTTGAATGAAGTTTCCTAGTACACACATAGATTAATAGGTTAAAAAAATGCTTTGAGCTGGGCAGTGGTAGCTCATCCTGTAATTCTAGCTTCTCAGGAGGGTATGATTTAAGGATCATGGTTTGAAGCCAGCCTGGCTGGAAAGTCCATAAGATTCATCTCCGATTAACCAAAAAGTGAAAAGTGGAGGTGTGGCTAAAATGGTAATGTGTCAGCCTTGGAGTGACAAAGCCAAGCTAGAGAGTGAGACCCCAAATTTAAGCCCCAATACCAGCACAAAAAATGTTTTGAGCTGACAGTGACTCAAGTGGTAGAGCAGTTGCCTAACAATGGATATGGACCTGTGTTCAAACTCTAGTGAGGCTACCAGGGGTATCTCAGTGTAAGATTGTGCTTAGCATGCAAGACACCCTAGGTTCAGTCCCTGGCACCAAGAAATTAAAATTTTTTTGAAGTCAGTTTTACATGAGTACTTATAAGGTATATAAGACATACAAAACTTTTCTACATAAAAGTTGAATATTATGAATTAACCTAAGATTCTGTTTTAGATAAAAATTGGTATTTTGGCACATATCTTTGAGGTGGAATTGATGGCATATGTTGTGAACTACGAATTTGATGAACACAACATCATTATCTTACATATAAGCAATTATGGTACAAATGTCTTTTTCCTTTCAGTAAAGTAGCAAAGTTCTATGAAGTTAAAAGTATCTGGAAGTATTTTGATCTTTTTCTTTTGGTACTAGGGATCAAACACAGGGCCTTACACATGCTAAGCAAACTATTAAGAATTGAGTACATTCCCAGCCTGCTCTTAATAGTAACTCCCTGAAAAAATCCCACTATTAGGCAGAATTCCAAGGTAGCCCCAAGAGTAGTCAAGGATACGTTTTTGCAAGTGGTTGGTGCCAGTCCTGAGGTTTAAACTCAGAAGTTGGGCACTATCCCTGAGCTTTTTTGCTCAAAGCTAGTTTTATTTTTTGCCAGCCCTGGGGCTGGCACTGTCCCTGAGTCTCTCTGTGCTCAAGGCTAGCACGCTACCACTTGAGCCACAGCACCAATTCCGGCCTTTTCTGCTTATGTGGTACTGAGGAATCAAACCCAGGGTTTCATGCATGCTAGGCAAGCACTCTACCATTAAGCCACATTCCCAGCCCCTGGGCTTTTTAAATAGTTAATTGGAGATCAGATTCTCATTGACTTTACTGCCCTAGCTGGCTTTGAACCAAGATCCTCAGAGCTCAGCTCAGCTCAGTTAGGATTATAGGCAGGAGCCACCAACACCTCCCAAAAGGTGGTTTCTTGATAGGTAAAAATTACACAAAATACAAATTACAGTGTCCACAAATTTTGGAGCACAGCTACACTCCTTCATTTACATATGTGTGGTTGTTTGGCCATACCACACCAGAGTTGAGTAGGTTTTTTTTTTTTTTTTTTTTGTCAGTTGTGGGGATTGAACTCTGGGCCTGGGCACTGTCCCTCAGCTCTTCAGCTCAAGGCTACCACTCTACCATTTGAGCCACAGCGCCACTTCCAGTTTTCTGGTGGTTTATTGGAGATAAGAGTCTCACGCAGATCTTCATTAGCCATACAATGGACAAGGGTCTCATATCTAAAATATACTTAGAACTCAAAAAATTAAATCCCCCCCCCCCTTTGGGGCTGGGAAGGTGGCTCAGTGGTAAAGCACTTGCCTTGCATGCCGGAGGCCCTGGGTTCGATTCCTCAGCACCACATAAGCAAAAAGAAAAAAAAAGCCAGAAGTTACGCTGTAGCCTTGAGCTGAAGAGCTGAGGGACAGCACCCAGGCCCAGAGTTCAGGCCCCATGACCGGACCAAAAAAAAAAAATATGAAAAAAAGAGCCGGGCGCTGGTGGCTCACGCCTGTAATCCTAGCTACTCAGGAGGCTGAGATCTGAGGATCGTGGTTCAAAGCCAGCCAGGGCAGGAGAGACCGTGAGACTCCTATCTCCAATAAACCACCAGAAAACCGGAAGTGGCGCTGTAGCTCAAGAGGCAGAGCACTGGCCTTGAGCTGAAGAGCTGAGGGACAGCGCCCAGGCCCAGAGTTCAAGCCTCACGACCGGCAAAAAAAAAAAAAAAAAAAAAAAAAAAAAAATTAAATCCCCCAACAACAAATCTTGAAAGAAACAACCACCTGATTAATTAGTGGGCTTAAAGAGAGACTTCTCTGAAGAGGAAATAAGCATGGCCAAAGACACATGAAAAAATGCTCAACTTCTCTAGCCATAAAAGAAATGCAAATCAAAACAACATTGAGATTCCACCTCACCCCAGTTAGAATGGCTATAATTAAGAAATCTAATAACAACAGATGCTGGAGGGGGTGTGGCCAAGAGGGAACCCTACTGCATTGTTGGTGGGAGTGTATACTTGTTTAACAACTTTGGAAAACAATATGGAGGTTCCTCAAAAGACTCTACCTAGAGCTCCCCTATGACCCAGTAATCCCACTTTTAGGCATTTACCCAAATGACTACCAGCCCAACTATGTTTATTGCAGCATTATTCACCATAGCTAAGATATGGAATCAACCCAGATGCCCCTCAGTTGATATATGGATCATATATATATATATATATGCATATATATATGCATATATACATACCACATACACATGCAATGGAATTCTTTGCCTCCATCAGGAAGAATGACACCACTCCATTTGTTAGGAAATGGAAAGACTTGGAAAAAAATTATATTAAGTGAAGTAAGCCAGACCCAAAGAAATATAGGTCCCATGGTTTCCCTTATCTGCAATAATTAGTATATGTCTAGAACAAGCCGAAGAAGTCAGGAGCTATGTAACAGGGCTGGGAAGATGGCTCAGTGGTAGAGCGCTTGCCTTGCATGCATGAGGCCCTGGGTTATATTCCTCAGCACCACATAAGCAGAAAAAGCCGTAAATGTCGCTGTGGCTCAAGTGGTAGAGCGCTAGCCTTGAGCTGAAGAGCTGAGGGACAGCACCCAGGCCCAGAGTTCAGGTCACACAACCAGCCAAGAAAAAAAAAGAAAGCTATGCACATATGACCATATAAGGTGATGCTAAGGGAAATGAATCCCAAGAGAGGGACATGAGATTTTATTTCTTGCTGTTCTTTTTAATGTGTACTATGTGATTTGTTTGTTTGGTCTTCCCCCATGATATAACCCCTGTTGTCACTGTATTTGATTCCGGTGTCTTGCATCTTGTATATACATTTTTCTAATTTGAGAAGGGGAAGGGAAATAACAAAATGCTGAAATAAGGATACAGGATGACCCATTGTGACAAGATGTACAAGACACTTGAAAACAAACTTTACAGCTTTTGTGGGGGGAGGGGAGGGAGGAAAGGGATGGTAGGGGAAAAACAAAGGAGGGGGTAACAATGCTCGATAGGAAATGGACTCATTACCTTGCTCATGTAATTGTAACCTCTCTGTACAATATTTTACAATAAAAATATATTAATAAAAAGAGAGATGGGGAAAAAAAGAATCCCATGGACTTTGCTGCCGGGCTGGCTTTGAACCATGATCCTCAGATCTCAGCCTCCTGAGTTGTTAGGATTACAGGCGTGAGCCACCAGCATCCAGTAAGTTGAGTAGTTTTATACTCTCTCTCTCTCTCTCTCTCATATACATATATGTATACATATATAATTTTTATTTTTATTTTTTTGCTGGTCCCAGGGCTTGAACTCAGAGCTTGGGCACTGTCCCCAAGTCTCTGTGCTCAAGTTTAGTGCTCTACCACTTGAGCCACAAGGCCACTTCTGGCTTTTTCTGAGTCATTTATTGGAGATAAGAGTCTTAGGGACTTTCCTGCCCTGGAAGGCTTCGAACTACAATCCTCAGATCTCAACCTCCTCAGTAGCAAGGATTACAGGTATGAGCCACTGGCACCCAGTTGTACACAACTTTCAATATCCCTGGTCCTTCCATGGGAAGTTTGCCTGTCCCTGGTCTAGAGCACTGGGCAAGCTTTCACAAGGAATTATCGCAGCAGAACCAAACACTTAATAGAAGTGCTTCAGTAGGTATCTGGGGCAAGGGAGAGACAGGTGCCCTAGGGAAGGTGCTGTTGTCAGATGCTGGAAAAGGCACACATACTGCAAGAGCCAGAAGATGGGCAGCTCTGGACATGAGAACTAGACACAACCTTTTCCTTTCGCAGTGCCTCTCCAGTGCCCTCTGCTGACAGCATGAGATCCACTTTTTCCTAGCAGGTGACATGTTATTTTAACCATTGCCCTTCTTTGTCCTATCTTCTCTCTTTTTGGGGGGGCGGAGGTGGGGGGTCTGTCATGGGGCTTGAACTTTGAGCTTGGCTGCTGTCCCTCAGCTCTTCAGCTCAAGGCTAGCACTCTACTACTTCCAGTTTTCTAGTGGTTTATTGGAGATAAGAGTTTCATGGACTTTCCTGTCCTGGCTGGCTTAGAACTGTGATCCTCAGATCTCAGCCTCTTCAGTAGCTAGGATTACAGGCATTAGCCACCGGTGCCCAGCCTTCTCATTTTTTTTTTTTTTGTCAGCCGGCTGTGGGGCTTGAACTCTGGGCCTGGGCACTGTCCCTCAGCTCTTCAGCTCAAGGCGAACGCTCTACCACTTGAGCTACAGCGCCACTTCCGGTTTTCTGGTGGTTTATTGGAGATAGGAGTCTCAAGGTCTCTCCTGCCTGGGCTGGCTTTGAACCGTGATCCTCAGATCTCAGCCTCCTGAGTAGCTAGGATTACAGGCATGAGCCACCAGTGCCCGGCTTTTTTTTTTTTTTTTTGTGATAGTACTAGTGTTAGGTTTTTAAAAAGAGGTAGGTGAGTAAGAACTGCACCACGCACGTGATATTCAGGTAAGGGGTAGGTTTATTCATCGTTCTGGCTGGCACCAGGCCACGTTGGCCCTCTACGCGGCTGGGAAAGGCCTGGGAAAGACCTGGGAAAGAGGTGGTTTGAAAGAGCTGGGAAAGAGAGAGCTGGGAAAGAG